TAGCCGCAAGTTGTGCAGCTGTTAAGATTGAGTTTAAGACAAGTTCATTGTTGTTTTTTTTGAGTTGAAAGAGTCCAATTTTGCCATCGGTTCTCAAGTGTGCATGTTGTGAGCAAGTCCAGAGTTGAGTCTGATTGCACTGGTATCGGAGCAGGTACCCGTTGTCCACGCCGGCGGAGCTGCAGCACACAAGGAAGAAGGAAGAAGCCGCCATAGCCGGAGCTTGGCAGAGAGAGAGAGAGAGATAGTAAGAGAGAGAGAGAGAGAGGAAGAGAGAGGAAGGGGGACGGTAGCCATAGCTGCCGAGTTCGGGGAAGAAGACCAACATCAAAAAGGGAGAAAGAAGAGACGCAGAGAGAAGAAAGGAAGAAGACAGTGATGAAGAGGGAGACAAGATCAGCCATAGCTGAGGTGAAGGAGAAGGAGGTCCACCATAGCCGGGAGGTCAGAAGGTTGACCGGGAGAGTTGACCAGATGTTGAGCTAGGTTGACTGCGGGTGTTGACCAGGCATTGACCAGTGTTGACCGGGCTGTCCGGGGCGTTGACTGAGCATTGACCGGAGCTGCCTAGCGCATTGACCAGGAGCGTTGACCGGCGAAGTTGACCAAGTCCGTTGACGGAGTGTTGACTCAGCTGGAGCAAGAAGACAAACGGTACTATCTTCCCAAGCCTGGCCTATCCCTTACCCCGTGAGTGTGTACCTTCACCCCGGTACTTGCTGGCATAGAGTCTGTCAAGGACAGTCAGTCCTATCTCCCTGTCACTACTGTCTAGGGTNGTGTGTACCTTCACCCCGGTACTTGCTGGCATAGAGTCTGTCAAGGACAGTCAGTCCTATCTCCCTGTCACTACTGTCTAGGGTGTTAGGACTCTCTGTGTGTGGTCATAGAACCGCGAGTTCAGTTCGGGTAGTGAACCAAATCCCCGAAGTAGAAGTAACCTGTTCGGTCTAAGTGTCGAGGTGTGGAATTGTTGTTAATTGTGCGCTGTCAACATGGTGACCCTTAGATCCGGAACCGTTACCACCCCCTACAGCAAAGAGCAGGAGGAGAGAGCTGCCGCCCTTCTGCGTGAGAAGAAAGAGAAGATGGAGAAGAGGGAACTAATCGGACAGGCTAAGATGTTGGCGCTGCTGGAGGAGCAGGAAGCAAAGAAGAGGCAGATGGAGGAGGAGATGGAAAGATGGAAGAAGGAGCAGGAGGAGAAGATGGCAGTTATTCGGGCGGAAGAAGAAGAAGAAAAAGAAGAAGTGGAAGAAGAAGAAGAAAGACCGCTAGAGAGGAGAAGAGGAGGAGGAAGCACAAGTAAAGAAGCGGAGATTGCGGAAAGGGCGCAAGAATGGGCCGTACATTTGAAGTTAGGGAAAGACCAGGAGGCTGAGATGGCTGTACCCGAGGAAGAAAGAGAAGCAGCCCAGTAAAGAGAGGGGCAAAGGAGGAGGAACAACGGATGGCGTGGAGATATCGGTTATCCCAAGAAAGGGTAAGGAGATTGGAAGTGGCAGAGAGGGCGGACAAGGACCTAAGAGCGGCGGAAGTTAGGATGGGGAAGATCCGAGCGGAGACTGAGCTAGCAACCAAGCTAGCTACGCTGATCCAAAGTGTAGAGGCTTTATTAGTCGCACAGCGGTGTCGGCGCGAATACCCTCACAAGGGTATCCGCCCTGGTTTTTGCAAGTGACAGAAGATGAGGTTTGTCCAGAATGTGAGTATACCGGTCGAAGTCGCGGGTCTGTTTGGTTCGCGTTGACTGAATGGTTGACGGGAAGTAGAGAGTATGTGGGCGCGCARCTTTGAGGCGCGAGTGATGATCTTTTTCTTGATGCTATAAGGTCGGCGTTGTCGCCGGCAAAAAWWTTGGCTTTGATTAAAACTAGGGAAAGTTGTTCCGTTATTGAAGTAACCGTGGTGCACCTGCGTTCATACTGCATGCGTCATCGAAACCGGTGTTGCTTTGGGCAGTGACTGGAGTGTGCGAGAAAAAGTAGAACGCAAGCGGTGACCTCCGCGCGGTAGATGCGAGAGGTTGACGGTCGTGGACGGAACCAGGCCCTATGATCAACAGGCGCCATAGGTCGACAGTCGTGAGTTTGGTTCGTAGGCGAAGGACTGACCTTGAGGGATTTTGATAGGTCCGCGTACCGTGCGGCAAACAACTTATACTGATTTTTGCAATAGTCCATCTTAGCCTTGGGTACTAGCACTATTGTTAATGACTTTCGGGGCTGCACTGTGTAAAGTTACGTGGGCACTAGGTTGGCCATGTGCCGTCAATAGTAGAAGCCGCTGCCGAAGCCGAGTGAGGAGGGCACAAACTAGAGTGACGGTCGGGGTTTCCTCGGTGGGAGGGCGGTAAAAAGGCGTTATGGCAGGCTATGAGGGGCTCGGCCCACAGCCATACCATGGTGGAGCGGGCGCGTGGGGTAGGCCAAGCGAAGCCTTGCCCTCGAGGCAGCCAAGTGCGGCATTACGGGGCCCTGGGCTCAGGCCGTAAGTTAGAAAAACGGCCTGAGGTACCGTTGCAGGCCCGGGCTGGCTGGCCATACCATTCATATACAGGGCAGCGCATAACTGACTTAAGCTTGGGCTTAGCCCTATACGTTATGTCATTGAACTTCCACCAGGGGGATCTTGGGATTGAGGCCAGCAGCCAGCATTACAAGAGCGGAGGAACGTTTCATGGAGAARACTGAGGGGTTGAGGGTCCCACAGGACTATCCCTTTTAGTTTTGATGGGGAGTCCTACCGCGGGCCTGAGAGGGAGGGCCGAGGACCAATGCCAACGGRCCCTCCTCCCCTACTCCGTTTTCTCTCCTAAGTTTTTTTTTTTATTAGCTATTATTTTAGTTTTTTTTTTCTTACTTCTCACTTGAAACAAGGCCCGACACGGCTCTCCGGGACCGGCCGTGAACCAACGGACCTCGCTCAGGGGGTACACCCACGGGCTGCTGAGGTACAGACCGTGTTCAACTCCAAGTGGTGGAACGGGATTGACGAGCGGAACCCCAGGGTTCTTGGACCGGACCGCTTCTTCCGGACTGCCAGAGTTATCCGAGGTCCTTCGGGACATCCTGTAAAATTGGAACGATACAGAGGAGATTAGCATGGCCCTGCGCACAGATAGTATGTATAAAATAGAACAGCATGATGGTTTTGAGTAAGTGCGCTGCCGACGGGTGGTGCTTGTCGGCTGAAACCGGTCTGCGGCACTATGCTGTTAAGCATCGGATGGGGGAGAGCCTACGGGTGAGGGGGAGATGGTGAATGCAGGCGGAGCGCAACGAGGGCCAGCGGCACATCACTACGAGGTGGGGGAATGAGCAAGCCGGGCAAGGCAGGCAGTCGGGGGAGAGGAGGCTCCGACAGGCCGAGGCTGAGCGCTGTSAGGGTGGAAGGAGTTGAGGTCGAGCAAGGCAGTGAGGGGGGGGCTGAACCGGGACGAAGACTTGAGCCAGGTACGTTGGGAAATTGGGAATGAAGAAGACAGAACTATGGCAGGATGGTGAGTTCGGCGCAGCTAAAGAAGCACGACTCACTCGATTCTTATCGGAATCAAGCGAGGGAAGAAATGAACTGGGGGTTTTGGCATAGGGCGAATGTAGTGACAGTGTTAGTTTTGGTGTTAGTGGTGTAGGAAGTGAGTTAGAGGGAAGGAGGCGTGCGCGGAGATGGAGAGAAAGGTGGTGGGGCAGAAACGAAAATTTGTGTTACTTGCCCGTTTCTTGATGAAAACAGGCAAGTGAAGACTCGATCTCTAGGTTTTTGACCATTCCGAGTTGAATGGTCATGCCAGATTCCCGATTTGGACAAAGTTCTGGTCGGTACGGACAATAGAGGCTGCGCGGGGGTTAATTTTTATTTTATTATTTTTAAGTGGGAATGTATTTTCCCATCTTCTAGCGGGATCTTCATAGGTGGTGTTCAGCGTCCTGATCATCTTCTTCGTGCTCGCAATCGGGCAGCGAGCAGCAACAGTGGTGCTGGTATGCTACTCCCTGCGCGTTCAAGTTCGTGTTCGTCTTCTTCATGGTCTTGATAGGATCGACGATCTTTGTCATCACGGCCAGCTTCATCAGTAAATTGGCGGCGTTAATATGCAGGCGTGTGTGTGTGTGAGGGAGGGAGAAGACTTGTATCTTCTCCACAGATGGGGCGCGAGCAAAAAAAAAAAAGAGAGAGAGAGAGAGAGAGAGAGAGAGAGAGAGAGAGAGAGAGAGAGAGAGAGACCGATTGAGTACCTACCTCGAGGGACGAGGGAACCGAGATGAGGCGAGTGTCGAGCTACGGCGTCAAACTGCGAGCAGGCCACTTTTTAGTGAGCTGAGTTGGCGAAGGAGAGAGAGAGGGAGGATGTACACTTACGTGCATGCTTCTGGCCAAGTTCCAGGGAGAGGTTCATTCACACTTTGCATATTTGGTGGGTAGTGGAAGGAGGCCCATTACAGTGCACCTTCGCTCGTCATAGCGGCCACCATCTTGATCCCGGTATGTTTCGCCGAGATACTTGTCTTCGTGATCGCCGTCGCACTGCTGCTTGCTCRACARTTTCTCCCTGGCGATGGTGGAACTGYCGATTATGATTCGTCATCAGCMGGGCTACCCKTCAAGATCGTAGTGCTGCCYRTTGTGTCTACGATCGTCATCCTTCTATAGATCACTCTCACCTTCATCAACCGTTGGYCGATGCGTTGCTCATCCTAGCCRTGGGAGCAGCCACTCTACCTCTTTGTACGCATGGCCGGATGGCGGTGTCTCCCTATGTCCTAGGGGAGGATTTAGTCTCATTTTGCACATTTGTATGAGCAGGAAGGCGGGGCAGTTGTTGCTGCACCTGTTCATAGTCGTCGGCACGATCCCAACCATGCCTTCACAACTGAAGCATCATCGTGCTCATCTGCGTCGTCATGCTTGTTGTGATAGTCGAGGTCATCGTGATCAACCTATTGGTCACACTGGTCCATACCAAGCACTTCAAGGARGTTTCATACTCACCTGGCGGAGGACCAGGGTCGACAGGCCAAGTGCAGGTCGCATCAGTAGTGGGCAACGACAACGAGTGTATTTTTACTCTTATTAGTATTATTATAGTATTATTATTATTATTAGTTATTTATTCTTCACCGTGGCTACTGTTGCTGCCCAGTAGCAACTGTTATTGAGGTGTCACCACCAATTGAATTGCTGCTGCCTGGCTTTGAAGCCGTTGATGTCTCCGAAGATCGATGTTGAGAAGCTTGTGTTGGTTGCTACCAAGATCAAAAGTTGCTGGTACAGTGGCAATCTGCAGCCATCCCTTCTACCGACGCTGTTGTTCCCTCAACAGCGGGGCTGCTGCGTCTTAGCTTGGTGTAGTCGTGTTGCTAGGGAGGTTGATAGCGTTGCACTTGTGTATTTAGGTGTTGTTTTTTAGTATGAGTCTGCTGCAGAGTGCTGCAATGCTTTGAGGTTCTACGTTTGTGCACTTGGGGGGGGGGTGTTGCTCTTGTGCTAAGCAGATGGAGGGTTGCCGTCGCAACTGTGGCCTGGATTAACCGACGAACGTTGAGGGCGTAGGGATGTTGTGACTTAACAGTGGAAAAGGAACCCGGCTGATGCTCCCCAGAATAAGAGCACAGAGAAAAAACAAAAAACAAAAAAAAACACTGTGAATTACCTAGGGCCAATCAGTCTCATAATGATATTTCCAGACTTTTTCCCCCGTAAAAAAAAAGGAAACAATAAAACACGCTGACAGCCTGAGGGTCTGCAACACCGTGTCAAGCATAGGCGTTGGACTCATCGCCATGCTCACTGTCCTTGCAGCCGCGGTCCAATCTTCGTCAACTATCTGACTCTGATCCGATGACGCTTTCTCCATGTTGCCCCCTCTTCCCTTTCGCTTCGAGGCCACACTGTTTGCAAAGGTGGTTGAGGCAGGGTTGGTTCTTGGCCTGGCCCACCCACACTTCACAATCGGAGCAGCGGGAATGGCTGAGCAGCAGGCTTCTTCCTCCTCCCTGCCTTGGGGATCTTGAGATTGTCATGCACAACTGTTGTCATCCAGGGCCCTGCTGCTGTGACAGATGCCTACTACAACTGTCTGTACCCTTGCACCCGTTGATTGGGCTGCTGCCGCTGCTCTTGGTACTGTTGCGGGTGATACTGCTCATCTCACAGCTGCAGGTGCTGGTCGTGCCAATGCTGCTCCTAGTGCTGCAGCTGCACCTGTTGTGGATACTACTGACGGTGTTATGCATCACAGAAGGGACGTTGATTCCTCGTCCCGTGCCCATCTCAATGTGCTGTTGTGCAAGTGTCTGATCCTTCTTGTGATGGACCCCAGTGCAGCCTTCTCCTCTAGAAATGGGCATCGTGGAGCCATGAGGAATTCCAGTGCGTTGTCTACCTGACCGGTGTCCAGGGCAACAGTGGTTGTATGTGACCTTTTGGGACATCGCTGGCCCTGGGTGGATGCTGCTCAAACTCTGAGTCTAAATTCT